TTATTCCTTGCCCTCTGCCTGGTCCCTGCTGGCCGCGTGGGCTGTGCTGCCAAGGGAGCAGAAGCTGCGAGCCGTGAGCATCTTGATCTCTCCCAGCCGATTAGCCTGTGACAGAAAGGGAGTAATCTATGCCGACGGCTGTATAAACACATTGTCGCCCAAGTGATGTTATTACCGTCGTTTTGCCAAAAGCAATTATTTTATTGAATAAGTTCATTGTGCTGCTAAGGGTCCGGCTATACTTTATGTGGCTTAAATGAGGTTCTGTGCTGAAGAAGACTTTGAGAGAGCTTTAATTTCATCCGGCCTCTGACTCGTTAGCAGCAGCATCTCCCCTTGCATGTCCCAGATAGAGGATGGGAATAAGGACGGCCAGTCCCAGTGGCTGGCGGCACTCAGGGCGAGAAGTGGAAAGGTGCCCCCCTCCCCCCCCATCTCCACTAACGGTGAAAGAACCTTTTTTTAGGGGCTATTTTTCTGTTTACCAGATTTGGAGCGGACCCTGTGAGTCATTTGTAGATGGTTCACCTAAACGGGCACGGCTGGAGGAAATGATTCACCGTGGCACCAGATGGCTGGTGTTGGCTGGGTCTGATAAGCGGAGGGAAACACGGGAGCGCTGCGGTCTCTGACGATAACCACCATCTCTGGGGTTATCTCGTAGGCGATGCATTTTCATTTCTTTCCATGATTCACACGCAGTGGGATAGCAGAGAAGCTGGGCGTGAAATGTGCCAAGAAGGTTTTCCTTGCCATCTTGATAGGCCTTCTTGGGGCTGGTGTTTTGGGGCAGATTGTGGACTTTTATGAAATGTGGCTTTTTTTCTTCTTATCCCTTCCTCTTTGGTCAGGTCAGAAAGGTTTCTGCCATGCAGCGGCAGTGATGCACGCAGTGACCGGGGCTGCTCTCCCTGCCATGGACCGCATGGCTCCTGTTGACAAGTCAAGGGCAGAGCGGGGCGATGCGGCACCCGTGATCCTGCCCGTACCCACCCCAAGGTGAAGTGGAGAAGAGCTCTGTCCCGGTGCAGCTGTATAGAATCACTTTGGTTGGAAAAGCCCTTTAAGGTCATAGAGTCCAACCTTTACCCTACCCCTGCCATCCCACCACTAAACCCTGGCCCTAAGCACCTCATCTATCCTTCTTCTAAATCCCTCCAGGGATGGGGGCTCAACCACCTCCCTGGGCAGCCCATTCCAGAGCCTGACAACTCTTTTTCGGTGAAGAAGTTTTTCCTAATGTCTAGCCTAAACCTGCCCTGGCGCAACTTCAACTGTATCCTGAGCTCCTCCATCCATGGTGCCTCCCCCTGGGTGTGTTTGCTCCGACTCGGGATGCTCCGGGGAGTCTTGTGAGTGCTGTTATCAGCTCCAAGGTGACTTGCTGGGAGCTGTGGCCCTTATCGCTGTCTCCCTCGGACAGTGGCTGGGGCCCCACTGTTTTTTCCAGTCGGGGGGGGGGGGGAAGCTCAGCCTTGCTTGTGCTGTTTGCAGGAGACATGAAAATCCTTTATCTGATACCATGATACTGTGGAATATTAGGAAATAAATTTATCTTCATCTGGCATTGTTCAAAGCCTTGGGAAAACAGGCAGAGATTAAGTTTTTTCTCTCTCTCATTTGGCACAGCGACCCAGGTAAACTCGAAGGATTATATGGTGTGTAAATGTATGCCATCTGGTTCGGAGGGATTAGGACCACATTCAGCTGGTGGGCCAGTGTCCCTTGGGGCTTTTTATGATGGGCTGATGGTAGCAGTTGAAATTAAACGTGGAGATAAATGATGTCCAAAGGATTTGTAGGCTGGCTGCTGTTCATTTGAGGTTTGGATGCCTTAGTACATTCAATCCAAAATACCTGGGCCAAAGAAATGCAGATTCCTCTATAAGCCACCCTTTGTTTTTTATGCTTCTTTGGAGAGAAGGTGACGGCTTCAGATAAGCCCCAGGCAACGCTTGTCCTTTCTAACCAAAAGCACAGCGCTTGCTCCGGCTCTCCCTGGGCTCACTTCCCCCCCCCCCTCCTCCAGTTCAGCTTTTTATATGACATGTCCTGGTTAAAAACTCAATCCGCTGAATTCTTTCAAAGACTTTGCCCATCTTCTGCTACGGCGTGCCACAAAACCACAGCGGGGCTTCCCTTTGCACTTACAGAAGCTGTTCTGACTTTTCTCACGGCGCCTGTGGCTTTGCTTTGTAGAGAGTTAGGTTAAGAAAAATCACTGTCACAGAGGAGCCCTCTGGCAGTGCTTTCTCCAACCTGATGCCTACTTATCACAGGTGATCCTGGGATACCGAAACCCAACTTTTCCATGTAGATAATAAATTGACGGGTCTGGGCAAATAACCTGGTAGTGGCTTTGTGCAGGTTGAGCGAGTCCGGGTTGTGTCCGCCCTTCTCTCCCGCAGTCTTCATCGGCTCCTGGACGTTTGCATTAGAGAAAAGTCTTCCTTTGGAAAAAGGACTTGAATCCAAAACTCGGATTTAGAGCCAGATTCAGTTTCTGGCACATACCTGTCATTTCAGTTAATTAAGTGATTACATGGAGAGCAGTTCAGAGAACCGCTGTGCTCCCTGTGTGATTAATGGAACTGAGTGGTTTGAATCATTTTAGGGGACCGCGTTAATAGGGCAGCGAGGTGCCTATTTCATGCTTGTAAATCAGATATCTAAAATGATGTGAATGCCCTCATCAGAGCTTTATGCAACAAGATTTCTGCCTTGTGAAATTCAACACTGCAAATAAAATGCAGTTTTGAACCTGCTGCAGCAGCAGATACTGGGACACGTGAGCTAGGACTGGGTGGGTCTTTATGGATGGATAAATAAGTCAAATTACTGGTGCTGCAAACTCCATGCTGAGGTTGCTTTCTTGGCTACGTGGCTGCTCTTAGGAGCCCCTTCCTAAGCCTTTTCAGCTCGGATGGCAAGAAAGCTCTCCCTTATTTTGATGCTACGAGTCCCCTTCTGATTCCTATCCACAGGCACCAGCTTTTTTTTTTTTACCTGATGGAGCTCTTCTCATCCTTGGTGACACGCCAAACCCTTTCAGCTTTTGCCATTGCTAGGCTCAACAAGTGACACTTTCAGAATTTCCCTTTGCATGATAAAGTAGGGTTTTGCCTCCTTTGGTAAGCCTGGGAAACCTTCTATGCACCTGCACAGGTTTGAATTTATCTCTCGTGGTCAAGGGGGCCCTGAATTGCGTGTGTTGGAGGAGGTCATGCCTTGCTCAGGGAAAGCCATTAATGCTTTCCCATCTCTGGGGGAAGTAGAGGGTGAATCCCAGAATTGCACTGGCCTTTTTGAAGGCCTCGGTGAATTAATTTGGGCTGTAATATTGCAAAGGAAATCAAAGCAACAGCGAAACGAATCGAGCTGGGGCAGCAAATGGGACCGTATTTGCAAACCGCCCTCGCTCTTCTGTGTTGCTGGGTTCATTTTCTGATCTCTCCTTCAAGTGCAGTGGTTGAGGGCTGACAATTGCCACCTCAGAAGCTGTCGCAGCATTGAGGAGCTGTGATTGCGCTCCGGTAGCACGGGCGCGTGGCCCTGGCAATGGTGCCGGTGGATGGCGGCAGATTGCAGGAGCGTGGCTGGCTGTGGAGGGTGGGAAGGGGAGCGGAGCCATTGGAGCTGGGAACATAGACCTGCTCCTGAGAGCTGGAAGAGCTGAGCAATGACTGCATTGCTGTCCTTGGGCATGGATGCAGTGAAGCCAGGAGCCCCAGGCTCAGCCCTGCCTGCGCTGGAAGAAACCAGGCTGCATCGCAAAGACTGCGATGGGCATTGCTGGCAGCGTCCCGTGGGTGGGAAGGGAGGGTTTTCACCAGGCTGTTATGAATTATAACGGCAGCAAAAGTGACCCCCCCTCCATACCGTGGCAGGGAACCATGTCGGCAGGCAGACCATGACATTCCTGCGCCAGGCAGCTGGTTATAATCAATTCTATCAAACCTTTTAAGTAACTTAATTCCCCAAAGCAGCGCAACTTCAGTTCATCATCGGTTCTTCTAACCCAATAACGGGAGGGCAAATTATGAGAAAGTGACAGTGAGGGATGCAGCTGGGGAAAAAAAAAAAAAAAAAGATTCTGCCTCTTACACTGCCCTCTCGGGAGGGGATAAGGCTGAGCAGCTCTCCTTGCTCACAGCACATATGTTGTCGTACAGCGACCGGGGAAAGTGCTGGCAGAAATGACCCTGCTCCTGAGAACGCCTCGTTTCATTGCAAAGAGTAAAAATGCATCGGCTTGACATAACACAAATTGTATTGCAGACGGGGGGGTGGGATGTGACACCCCAGACTTCCCCTGCCACCGGGAACAGGTCAAGGGCAGGTTCCCAGCAGGCAGCAGAGAGCAGTGGTTCTGCCTCGCAGGGGCATCCATCAGCGCGTCACCCATCAGCGGCTGGGAAATGCTCGGATATTTTTGTTCCAAAGTCCCTATAGATGATGGTGATAAACCAAACGCAGGTTTTAACTCAAGCTCTGTTTAACCAGAGGAACCTCAGAGCGGCAAGGCTGGTTCAGAGACGTGTGTTTCCCCAGACATCAGGAGTTCCTGTATTTTGTGGACCTTGCCTTTAAGGGTGATGGGTGAAGCCCAGAGTTTGACAGTGGAGAGTCCAAAAACCAGTTTTGTTTCCAATAAATTAGTCTTAATTTTACTGCAACTATTCTCTCTGGCTCCTGTTCGTGAAACCTATATCGCTAGAAAGTATTTCTCTAAATTTAGTGAATATTCCGCCCCCCCCTCTCCCCAGTTTTGGGCAAATATGGAACTACTTGACAAATTTTGCACTTCAACACAGAAAATCGCTGGAATTTAAATTATGAAGAAATCAACAGCCTTTCAAGCACAAAGTCAATCCTCTCCCCATCTATCTCTTTCCATCAGTTTTAATTTCAGATGCCTTTCCATCAGTTATTTCGGATACAACCTGCTCTGAGTTGGGTTTTTAACATCAGAAAGAAATAGTCTGTCTGCAATCACAGAATCCCAGAATCCCAGCCTGGCAGGGGTTGGCAGGGCCCTCGGGAGCTCACCCAGTGCCACCCCCCTGCCCAAGCAGGCTCACCCAGAGCTCAGGTTGTGCCCATGGCCCCTTGTCCTGGCGCTGGGCACCACTGAGAAGAGTCTGGCTCTGTCCTTGTGACCCCCACCCTTCAGATATTTGTAGGTGTTGATGAGGTCCCCTCTCAGCCTTCTCTTCTCCAGGCTGAACAAGCCCAGCTCCCTCAGCCTTTCCTCATAGGGGAGATGCTCCAGTCCCCCCATCATCCTTGTTGCCCTCTTCTGGACTCTTTCTAGGAGTTCCTCATCTTTCTTGAACTGGGGAGCCCAGGACTGGACCCAGTGCTCCAGGTGGGGTCTCACCAGGGCAGAGCAGAGGGGGAGGAAAACCTCCCTCACCCTGCTGGCCACGCTCCTCTTCATGCACTCCAGGATGCCATTGACTTCCTTGGAGACAAGGGCACCCTGCTGGCTCATGGTCACCTTGTCACTCACCAGGACTGCCAGGTCCCTCTCGGCAGAGCTGCTTTCCAGCAGGTCATCTCCCAATGGCTGAGAAAATGGCTGAGACTCTGCGAGACGAGAGATCTTTTGTGCAGCTGGCATAAATCCCTCGCCCTAGCTGCTATTTGCTCAGACCTAGGGTCAGATCAGCTGCTTATTTGGAGGAGCCCAAGGTTCTCATCTATTCCCCATGCTTTTACTGTGCGTAGCGGCTGCATGCTGGGTGCGGGGAGGTCAGAAATTCCTCACCTGAACTTCCGTTGTGCTCATTTATTAACCTGTCGCTCATGTAATCTGCAGATATGTCTCAAATCTGTTAGATAAATATGGATGTTGGGCAGTTTACTCCATGCTACACTTTCCAATTAGTGTTAATGGGACTTGTGCATCCAGCAAACCCCACAGTTTATGAGGTTCCCATCACCTAAGTTTGTCCCTGCATCCTGCACATCATTTTTTTTTTTAATAGTGGTGCTGAGGTACTGCAGTTTTGGAGGTTCATTTTTGACGACAGAAGAAAATATAACTCTGGCACGTTGGAGCATTGATTTTTGACTCGCTCTGTCAACGACTGGCTTGGCTCATAGTCACTTCTTTTGACTTCTGCACTTAATTATGGCTGGAGGTCACACAAGGGCCTGAAGCCATAGGTCTCCTGCAGTCCTTAGGAGACATACAGCTGCATAATTGGACCCATGTTGAGGATGGAGAGGGCTGCAGCTGTGGCACAGCCTCTGGATTTGGGCAAAGCAGCCTCCCGGGTTGGGAGCCCTGCACCGCGAGTGCCCTTCTGCACTTCCATCCCTTGGAAAACTGAGCTTCACACCCTTGCACGCCTCTCCTGCTAGCAACTTGGGCTGCCTGACGGGAGCCAGTTGCTAGGGTAAGTGAGAACCAAGATGCTGAGAGCTTTAAAGGTCATAAAAACACCTGCGACCAGCCCGGGACACCAATGGTGGCATCCCCAGAGGGTTGGGTTGCTGCTGCTTGTTGGACCGCCGGGCTCGTGACGGCTGCCCCAGCACAGCTGAGCCCTCGCAAGCAGCTCGGGGATGGGAGAAAGCATCTCATGACCTTGCTCAGACAGCAGATTTGCTCCCCATCCCCAGGAGGAGCACGTTATTAATGAACACCACCTAAGTAAGGTCTTCAGCACTGGCTCACGGGTGTTGTTAACCACAACTGCGTGTTTTTGTCGGACCCCAAACAGCGCCTGGCATCACGAAACGAGACCGCTCGGGTTTTTACCTCTTGTTTGACCCAGGAACAGCCAGCGTGCAGAATTGATGTCAAACCATTCATTACTGAAAGAAAACGTCAATTAGTATCAGCCATGCTGCATGCATTATTGTTTCTAAAATTAGTATAAATGATCAATCAAGGTTATGCATAATGAGCAACAGCAATACCTGAATTATGAAGCATGTGCAAATAATAAAGGTGACAAGCAGAAATAGATTTCCTCTGGGAGAAAATATTAGGCTCACAGCGATAATTTTCTACCTCCCTTTGTTTGAATACAGACTTGAATTTTACACCAAAATACTATTAAGAGCCATAGGGAAATGAAGTTTCTATTTTTGCTTGGTATTTCCAAAATAAAGGTGCTAACTTTCTTTATAAGGTCCTGTTCTGGTCATATAACGTGATTGGGCTCAGGAAAACTCGTGTGAATGCGCTGGGTTTTACTCAGTAATGAAAAATGTGTCTATGTTGCTATGCATGAAAATTATTTCAAATAAATAGTTAATTAAAATTAAATTTATTCAAATAAATAAAGTGATGCAGGAAAAAGGAAGAAGTTCTGCTCTGGAGTATCTACTGTTGGAAAATTCAAAGGTTCAGTCTGAGACCTTGAGTTTTCTTTGCTCTCTTGTTTTTATAATTGGGGAGAGGGGTATTTACTATTTGGACAAAATTTTGACTTATCTTCTGCTTGGGAAGCTGTATGGAGGTGATTAGAGGCAAGGAGGAGGCACCTTTGCTGTGTTTCCATTCCTTTTGATTTCCAGGAGATGGAGGAAGCACAGAGGGCCCAGAGGAGGTGGCAAGGACGGTCAGGAGTAAGGGAGCGTGACTACGAGGAGGGGTTGAGGGCTGCTTTCACGTGGTGAAGAGGGAGCCAAGGGTGGTCCCACCAGTACTTGGAGGGCAGTTACAGAACTGATGCAGACTAACTCTGCTTGGTAGCGTTAGATATAAACCAAAGGCCACAAATTGTGACTTGGGAGCTTCAGCTCAGATATTGGAAAATGGGTCTTGATGAGGAGGGTGACGTAGACTGGAGGAGGTGGCATCTTTGAGCTTGGAGGTTTCCAGGACTTGGCTAGACAAAGCTGGAACTGATGGCCATGTTGCTGCCAAGAGCCCTGCATGGAGCAGGAGGTAGGACCAGAGACCTCCAGAAGTCCCAACATTTCTGCAATCCTTGGATTTGGGCGCTGCTGTGATCCAGCAGCCTGCAGCTCAGGGAAGTGTAGCTGAGAAGAAATGGCGATCATTCTTGGCTTGTGGCAGGGTCAGGCAATGACTTAGTGATGTCAGAGCACCACAATAAAAAGAAAAAAGGCGTTCAGAACAATTTGAGCATAATTCAAATTCATAAGCAAATTCATTGCCCGTTTTTCATTTCCCCCATCCTGGGGTCAGGATTGTGGCGCGTACTGTTCCCTGAGGGATTTGAGTCTTCTGGCATTGCAGGTGCTGCAGACAAACCTGGTGATGACTAAAACGCACAGCGCATGCTGGAGCTCCACGTTGCCTCTGACGCTGTGGGTGACGCCATGGGTTGTGCCGCCTCCGCGTGGAAACCTCCCTGGAGCAGACGGCAGCAAATGCTGCTGCTTGTTTGCACTTTTGAGGGGAAAAAGTGAAATGAAGTTCCATGTTTCCTGCCTCTCCATCTCCCACCTTGCCTCCCGCTGGGCGGGAAGAGGCAAAGGGTGGAGGAAAGAGGGCGTGTTTCATGCGTATCTTCATGTATTGTCCTGGTTTCTGCTGGGACAGAGTTAATTTTCTTCCTAGTAGCTGGCATGGTGCTGTGGTTTGGATTTAGTACTAGAAGAATGTTGATAACACTCCGATGGTTTGGTTGTTGCTGGGTAGTGCTTAGGCTGGCCAAGGACTGCTCAGCTCTCAGCTCTGCCAGGGGCACAAGAAGCTGGGAGGGGACACGGCCAGGACAGCTGACCCCAACTGACCCAAGGGCTATTCCATACTGTACAATGTCCAGCTCAGTATATAAACTGGGGGAAGAAGAAGGAAGGGGGGGACATTCGGAGCGATGGGGGACATTCAGAGTGATGGCGTCCGTCTTCCCAAGTCACCGTTACGCGTGATGGAGCCCGGCTGTCCTGGGGATGGCTCAGCACCCACCTGCCCATGGGAAGTGGGGAGGGAATTCCTTGCTTTGCTTTGCTTGCGTGCGCGGCTTTTGCTTTCCCTATGAAACTGTCTTTATCTCAACCCACCAGTTTTCTCGCTTTTACTCCTCTGATTCTCTCCCCCGTCCCATCGTGGGGGGAGTGAGCGAGTGGCTGGGTGGGGCTGAGTTGCCAGCCGGGGTTAAACCACGACACGTATGCGGTGGGTTTTGGCAAGATGTTGAAGCACAGGTTCATCAGGGCTTTCTTCCTGGCTTTCTGCGCGGGGCCATGCACCCGCCAATTCCTGGGTGCCTGCTTTCTTGGCCCCAGTGAGTTCTACCTGGACGTGGCTGCTGGGTTCCCACAGCATCCCATGCGGGTACCACCCATTGCGCCGTCTGAAGCATCGGTTTTCTACGCGTTCAAAGGCTCACCAAGTGGAAACTACTCTCCTACATTAGCACCATAGCCTGTTCTCAGCATTCGATTTAATTGTAAGCCCTTCAATTAAAAAAAAACCAAACCAAACCCCGAACCCAAAGCAACAACAACAACCTTTGAATTATAACAGCTACGCTTTAATCAGAGCAGTGATTTCCCATCTAATTGCATCACTTCACAAGAAATATTCACAAACCGGAACCCAATAACACAAAAAATATTTTTAAACCCCCGGAACAGACTTGAAGTTGTTTTATTTCATTTGATGAGAATAATGGGTTTGTTTGCTTATAATAAAATTTATGATAGTCTTAAATATCCTCATTATATCCTTACCTTTAAGCGCAGCGCAGGTTTTGTAAATGTCATTGTTACTTAGCAACCTTGACTCGTTTTTGAAACGCTTTTTGATTTTGGAAGTATAAAGAGGATATAAACATGAATGGTATGTTTTTCATAAACAAAGAGCAAAGCCACGCATTTCTCAATTCAGGCACATAATTTTAGATTAAAGGGAAACAACAATCACAACCGTGGAAAAATTCTCCAGGAAAAAAAAAAAAAAATCACAAAAATGAATATTTTCAGCTTGTGAAGCTGAAATGAACTGTAGCCGTGAGATGAACTGGGCAGGGACAGTGGGTTATATTTAAAATTGCGATATCCATCAGGCAAAATGACATCTCCT